AAAAAAAAAAAATTACTTGTGAATTGGAGAGTCCTTTCCCGGTGCGTGAGGATTGTCCCGCCATTTTTTCGGATTTTTTTCGGATTTTTTCCTCTTTTGTTCGAATTTTTTGTATTTTTTTTTATGAATCTTTTTTTTTTCGATTTTTGTGTTAGAATGAATGTTTGGATTGACCACATTTATCATTTTTTAAGAATTAGATTTTTTTTATTGTTTAAAAAAAAATTAAAAATTGAATTTTTTATTATTATTTTTTAATAAGGGCAAAAGGGTATTTTTTGGGTGCAGTGTTTAGTAAAATAGGGTGCGGTGTTTATTAACCTCCACAAAAAATTCATCATCTACTACAGTAAATTAATTGTGAAAAAAGAAATTCCGGATGTGGTGAATGGTGAATGTGGGGAAAATCATAACGAGGTCAATGAACTCACCAATACAATTTGGTAAATATGAAAAAATCTGTAGTCACTTGGTTTTATAGCCAAATAATAAATGCAAAGATAGAATATAATCAATTTTTTTTGGGAGAAGTATAAAAAATAACAGATATTTTGTCTTGTAAAATGACACAATTAACTTTAGATCCCGTAATTGGTTTTTAATAAAGATCTATTATTTCATTTTCACGAAAATTAACTCTTTTTTTTTCTTTTTAAAAATCAATGAAGTAATTGAACTTATCAACTTATTATTGAGCACCCACACTGATTTCAATCATAGATTTATTCATTAGATTAGACACGCCTAGGCAATATGAAAATTCACCCATTTTTTCACCATTTAATCAATCACACTCATAGAATGTAGTAAAAAAAATGACAAGCTACCTAATAAACAGGCTAAAAGGGAAACGAAAATAACACACAAAGGAAAACGAAAATGAACTGTAGAAATTAAGGCAACAAAATAAAGCTCATAATTAAACATTCTCTTCTCATTACACAAAGCCAACAAACATAACAAATAGTAGCAATAAATAATTCACATACATAATAATAATGAGAACACAATTCAATTCATAATTTTCTTCACACTTGGGTCATTCTTTTCATGGGCTTAATTTGTTGGGTTGCTTCTGAAGGATCCCAAGGCCTTAATGCCGCAGCCCTCAGTATGTATTGGTGGTAGGCCGCCGCTGCCAATGCTCCCGCAAACGGCCCAACCCAGAATATCCACGGCAATATCAAAATTTTGGTTTAATTAATGAGAGTTCTATCATTAAAGTATCAAAGCCCTCTACTTGCAAAGTAGAAACTATGACAAGGAAAAATACTTCAAAACGAAAAAAAAAAAAGCATACGTGGTCATCCCAAACTTTGTCGTTATTGTAGATCACAGCCGCACCAAAGCTCCTCGCCGGGTTTATGCCGGTGCCGGTGATGGGGATAGTGGCCAAGTGAACCATGAACACGGCAAAACCAATCGGCAGTGGAGCCAAGACCTGAATTACCAACGGACAAACACAATTTCTCCATTAATGAACCTAAATAATTTTCATCACACAGATCTACGTGTAACTGTACAGATTTACTGTAGTAACTACTAATTACTATTCACTTACCGGGACGTGAGAGTCACGCGCGCTTCTCTTGGGGTCAGTGGCGGAGAAAACGGTGTAGACGAGCACAAAGGTGCCGATGATCTCCGCACCAAGCGCGGTTCCCTTGTTGTAGCCGTGGGCCACCGAGTTGGCCCCGCCGCCGAGGCTGTTGTAGTAGCTCTTCATGAAGGCCTTCACCAGGCCGACCCCGCAGATCGCGCCAAGGTACTGCGCCACCATGTACAGAACGGCCCGTATCAGGGAGACCTTCCGGGCGAGGAAAAGCCCGAACGTCACGGCCGGGTTGATGTGACCACCTGAAATCAACAGAGCAGAAAGGGGAAAAAAGGGGGAAAATCAGTAAAGTAATCTCGAGATTTTGTTAATCTAGTGTTTCTAGTTATAATTATATAATGAATTTTTTATAAATTATACAAACACATTTGACATTACCCAAACTAACACGCGCTTCTTCGTTTTCCATTTCAGCAAAGAGAAAAACACAAATGAAAGAGAAGACGTCCGTCAATCCCTACAACCTAAATCCTAATCTCATATCTCTCAACTAATAGTGTTTGGGGCAAAAACTCTCTCAACCCTAGCGGTGACGACGGCACTGTGGCAGGCGAGAAGCGATACCTGCGAGAGCGGCGACGAGAAGCGAGAGTGTGAGACCTTCGAGACGGCCGATGGGCGGCGGCTGTGAGGAAGCGAGAGTCGAGCCAGAGAGCGGTGAGGCAGCGACACAGAGAGTGACACCTAGCGACAAGGCAGCTTCCATTCTGGTAATAAGGGCTGATTGCTTGGCTTATTGATTAATTTTGGATGCATATGTAGACTGCGATTCTGTGAAGTATGAGCACATTAGCGGGTTGTTTGGTTGGGGGTAAAAGGAGGGGAGGGGAGGGCATTTTTTATTTTTCCCTTGTTTGGTATGAACTTTGATTAATTTTGGACTTAGTGATTAATTTGATTGGTATGAACTTTGAATATGTGGTTTATTGATTAATTTTGCACATTAGACCATCTCCAACCGAAAAACTCATTCTCAAACCCATTTTGCAGTAACTGTCTCGTCAAACAGTAATTCATCTCCAACCGAAAAACTCATTCTCAAACCCAAAAGAATATTCTTGAAATATTCTTTTTCTCTAACTTTTATAACTTTTCAATACTACCCACATATTTTACAACTTTACAAATTAAACCATATTATTATTTTTTAATGCTAATATTTCATTTTAATTTCAAAATTCTATAGATATGATTATAATTGTTCTACAAAATAAAATTTAGCTACTACATTACATACAAATAAAAACATCAATAGAGCTAAACGTATAGAAATATATAATACATCAATACAACTAAATATATAAAAAGTAAATATGTTATATAATATAGAAACCTGCTAGGTTGGCGTCACTAGAAATAATTAGCATCAAGAATTAATTATTGACATTAATTCTTGGCATGGTTAAATTTTATATCCATATAATATATTAAAAATTAATTAGTGGCATAAATATCTATAGAGAAGAAAGGAAATAAATAAATACACTCATCTCACCTATCCATTATCACGGTCATATTGCAATTTTTAAAAGATTTGCGTCAGTGAACAGGATAAACGCAAATTTGCGTTTCTACGGACCAAAAAAAAGGAAAAAACGCAATTTGCGTTTGGGGATGAGTGTCCATTGGAGTAAAAATACTGCATTTTTTGAGTTTTGGGTATCGGTTGGAGATGCTCTTAGAATTTTAGATGCGTATGGTTGATTGTTGAATTCTGAATAAGTGAGTTTTTCCAGTTTTGTTGGGCCTCAGCAGACTCACAGCACTTCAGGCTATTTATTTATTCTCCCGCAGGCCTGTTTTGCGCCTCGTGCCGTCCGGTCCTCTCTTTTATTTCGTCTCCATTGGGATTATTGACTTCTGTGACTTGATATGAGCATGTGAAGAAAATGGGTATGCATGTTGATGTTTTTTTNTGCTAAGCTGTTTTCTTGTGGCTTGATGAAATTTTTTATCTTGTATCTTGTTGTTTGGAATTTTATATTATTTATGCATTTACTTGTGTGTGTATGTCTGTGTATGTGTGTGTATGTGTGTGTGTATGTGAATGTTATCCTATCAACCAAATTTATTTGGTTTTGTGTTCGTTTGGACTTTTGAAGTGTTTTCTTTTTATGTTTCATTGTTGACTAGAACTATTTTGGCTTGTTTATAGAATTTCTGTTTTTTTACTTTCACATGAACTTGTTCGAAAGTCTTCAAAAATTTTCACCCAAATGTAGTCATGGGCCTCAACGATGATACACATATACTATGCCATTAAAGTTTGTGGATGAATGGGTCTGTGTTGTGTTAAGAGTGAGTTAAACTAGGCTAACAGACATGATTAGGCTAGATGCAAGACTCACATTAAAAATATAATTAGGAAGAAGAAATGTTCGATTATTTAAATTTAACATTAGCTTCTCGTTTATGTATGGGTCAGGTTCATTAGATGTGCTATGTTTTGGATCACTGGACTAGAGAAAGTGCGATTTTACTTTGTTTTTACCTTCAGGGACTGATTGGGCAGTATGCAGTACCGATTCTCGAAGAGAAATCTGTTTGGGGGCAACGCAGCTCCTACAATAATAGCATACATGGACACCCATGTAAAATGATGTGGATTCATATGCTCTTGATATCAAAATGTGAGAGAAAAAAATAAAGAAAAATCTGTGCTTGGCACTCTATTGATGCTTAGAGTCCCAACATGTACATGTTTATCAGGATATCACCCGATTAACATTTATAGCTCTGCGCAATGAAAATATCACTGGAAAACTTCTCACATTTGCTGGACGTCATGTTTGGACTACCCAAGAGGTAAGAGAAAGTGTGTTGAATGCTTAAAAGAACATGCCACTTTGTTCTTAAAATTATTTTGCAATCTTTTTGTACTTTGTACTCTATATACTCATAGTTATGCTCTTTTTTGCCCATAAAACTCGTGACCGTGCATGCTTAAGGAGGATTATAGAGTTTCATTTCGGTCTGATAGACATTAGAGGAAGTTGACCACTGCCTGTAAAATTGAAATGGAATGATTCATAGAGCAAAGTTTGCTAAGAAACCTTTTTCTAGCTAATGCAAGCTACTCTGAAGCAAGTTATTGTCACACTTAGAATCATCCACTAACTTGGAAACAATATATACTTCTTTTAGGTAGTAAACTCACTTAAGATTAGGTAAAACTTTTTTAGTAGGTAAATTTTGTAGCAACTTATAATATTCTTCTAGTGAGATGACATGCTCAAGATGTGAAATTTACTCAGATGTTCTAGTGAGATGACATGCTCAAGATGTGAAATTTACTCAGATGAGAAAAAATATTTTCCATAAGTCAAAAGGCTACAATCCTACCTCAACTTTAATTTAGAGTTCAGTTTGAAATTAAATGTGTCTTGGTTATATGTGATAACCTTGTGTGAAAGGCTTGCTGGTGAAGATGCAAATGTCGCCACATGTCCCCGTCTCTATTCTGAGATTTACTTGATAGCTGACTCCTCTATTTGAATGGACCAACGACATTGTTGATAGATTGGCATTGTCAGAGGTACAACCTATTTTCATTCTTTATTATCGATACTCGTGATATGTATGATTCCAATCATCATGATTTTACACACTGGAGATGTTTTTGTCGGTGATGCCAGTCGATATAGTTACATTCATGCGGTTAATTCACAATTCTTGAACTTTTGATGTTGTAGTTACCATAAAGAAAAGGAATTTCCTTTGGTTTCTTTCATAGGTTCTTACAAGTGTTTTGTTTTCTCGGCCCCAATGGACGAGACGTACAATGTGCTTGGCGTGGAAGCGAAGGATATTAGTTCTCTAGAGAAATATTTGCACGATTATTCAAAATTGTTTTATTAGACAATGATGTGGTTTCTTTTTATTATGTTATTGGAATTTCAACATTTTATTTATTTTGTATATTCATTGTGGATATTATCATTGTTCGAGTTTTATTATAATAACTTTGTTTCAATGTGGAATCTATCTCTTGTATGTAGATGGAAATTATTATATGTGTAACTAATTTGACACAATATTGTTGCCAATTTCATAATAACGATGCATAAATAATGTGTCGCATATTGATAATTCTTAACACCCATATTTGTGTCACCAAAAATAATAACGACACTTAAAAAAAGTGTAATGAATTGAAAAATGCCAACAATACAATTTTGTGTCACAATAATCCATATTAATGACGCTATAAATGAAGCGTCATGCATCGGAATTTACGACGCTAAAATTATAGAGGAAATTACACCATACACTACATCTTAACATTTTTATTACATAATTATAACTCATATATATTTATTTGCAAATTAACTAAAACTATCATATTTATTTACAAATATACTAGATTATTGAAATATGGTAAAAGCAGATTTATTGGGATTTATAATTATCACACGCTTTCTCTCTCTTCCTCTTTCTATTCATCTTATTCTTCTCTCTCCCTCTCATCTCCTTCTCCTACGATTTGCCCCAAATTTCAGAGCATAACCATAAAAAAGATACGCAGTTCCTTCATCAGATTTGGATGCTTTTGAAAGAGCTGCTTCTGCGAATGACTCAACGGACATCCAATTCGACCAACACTCTTGCAACCTTATGCCTCGTACCCATGGCAGTAGCTTCATCCACGCGAAGAGGGGTACCAATTAAAGAAGTAATAGAAAAGAGGGTTGTGATGATCCCTGTAGATTGTTGACATTATTTGCACATGAAAATGATTTCTGTTGTGTATATGATCCCTGTAGATTGTTGACATTATNTTTTTTTTTCGTTTTTCTTTAATTCCTTTTGTTATCGGTGTTTATTGTTGAGGGTTGTGATGATCCCTGTAGATTGTTGACATTATTTGCAAAGGATCATTGCCCATTAGAAGACTTGATATGTTCAATTGACGTGATTGAAATCTGGTTCGTATCAGTTGTTCAATTGACATTATTTTAGAAGTTTTTTTTGTAAATTGTTCAGTATATGTTTGTATATATGGAGTATATGTTCAGTATATTAGAAGTTTTTTTTGTAAATTGATTTTTTTTCTATTGTTGTTGTGTATATGTATGGTTTATATACTTTTATGTATAAAAGAAAAAAAAAAGGAAGATATAATTTTTTTGATGGAAGTCATTTTTCTTTATTGCAACATATACTGAATATATACTAACATAAACGCAAAATATACCACCTGACAGCTGCGTGAATTAAGGAATTTACTGAATATATACTAACATAAACGCAAAATATACCACCTGACAGCTGCGTGAATTAAGGAATTCTAACTGCGCACATATACTGAATATACACTAACATATACTGAAAATATACCACCTGACAGCTGCGTGAATTCAGGTCCCGAATTAAGGAATTAAATGATTCAGTTATTTATTTTCATTTCTCTCTCTTATGAGTCAGCTATAATTAAGGAGCTATAATTAAGGATATAATTAAGGAGCTATAATTAAGGATTGAGCGTTTTATTTATATGGTTATTTACATGAGGTATACTTCTAATAAAATCCTATATTTTAGGTATAGATGTAATTAAATTTGTTCCACTAGTAAAAGTGCAGTATCTTTCCATTCTTACGGGAAGAGTGAAAATTTCCCAAAATTATATGTCACAACTTGTAATAATAATGACATGCTAAAAAAAGAGTCACCCAATGAAAGTTCCTTACAGTAATATATTGTGCCACTAAATTATGTACTAACGACGCACTTTTGAAAAAGTGTCGCGCATTAAAGATTACCTACGCATCTAGGTTGCGTCACCAATAAATTCGTGACATCAAATTTAGCAACGCAACTCGTGACACTTTTGCAAGTGTGAGTAAATTTATTTGTGACACTAATAGATGTCACCAAATAAAAAAATAAATGTCACTAAATGCAATTTTTGTTGTAGTGATCTCGACTACGAATAATTATTCCCGGCTCAAAGAAGGAATAATAATGGCTATACTCACGGTCATTTTTAAGTTAAAATGAACCGATACTTTGACTAGGAATATGTCCGACTTCGAAATAAAATATCGTTCGAATAATTCTCGACTTACTCGAAAATGGGAACTCAAGAATGATGAGCTTTCTAATGAAAGCTATAATCGAGCGTGATCTAAATAAAATATTAGCTTAATCTCAGAAGCCAAAATAATCGAGAATTATATAAATAAAAAGTCGGATCATTACATACTATCCTTACAGGGCACTTACCCTTGTTTACCAGACACCAGCCATTTGTGCTTGGAACAATGGCAATTCTTGCATACTTTGAGCCCAAAATTGACACAAGGAAGAGGAACTTGTTTGGATACATCCTTTTCTGCATAAGCACATTCAGACTTTTAGTGGTTAATAAGTTATCCTAGTCCTCTTGAATCACTCCTTTTTTTTTCCTATTACTTTTGGCTATATTTGATCCTAACTTGTATTTGGTTTACTAGATAGAGTTAGCCACATCGGGAAAAGGAGGGATCGGAAATTACATCAGCATTTGTGCTTTTGTTGCCTCTTTTGGAGTAGCGAATGCATTGATTCAGGGTGGGCTAATCGGCGATCTTGCTTTTATGTGCCTTGAATTCTTGTAGCTATACAAATATAATTATATAAATCAATTTTCTAATTTGCAAAAAAAAAATTGGCTTGCTTTAAATTTTGTTGTTTGTTGTTGGATTTTTCAGTCGTTTTTTTGCCGGTTTGGCTGCATCGGGAGCTTTAACTTCTGGCTTGAGGCTAATCACTAAGGCAGCTTTTGATAAAACAGAAAATGATCTTCGTAAGGGAGTAAGTAAGTCCACTATCTTACTAAAAAATGTAATCTTTATCTCAGTAGCTTTCACGAGTACTTCATAATATTAATCGCTTGATTATTATTTATTTATTTATTTATTCATTTATTTTTTATTCAATTCATCTAATATACATTTGCTTTTTTCTGTTTTTGTTGATTATGAAGTCATGTTTCTTGCCATCTCGACATTTTTTGAATTTATATGTATTTTCCTCTACGCATTTGTGTTCGGGAATCTACCGATTGTGAAGAACTTCCGAAAAAAAGCAGCCTTGGAAGGGTCCAAAACGGTCTCGGCTGATCTTGCAGTCACGGGTATCCACACCTCGGATGGCAAAATTGTAAAAAATCAGCTTTTAAAACCCACATATCTTCGATTGGTATTTTAACTCTTTTTT